GCGCCTAGGCGGGCGCCTAGAACCTGGGCGGCCCAATAAGAAAAGAATAAAAAATTGGGGTTTTTCTCTCTCTAAATTAGCCTTTAATGGGTTTTAAGTTCATTTGAAACCTAAAACCCACAATTTTGTACCTTATATATTAAAAAAAATGACCCAAAATGACTCAAAAATGGCCTCAACGAGTGGCATTTCCGCCCTTGGGCGGCCGCCTAGGCGGGCGCCGAGGATACCTGCCTAATTTGGCTGCTTAGGTCTGAGCGATACACCCAAGCGCTGGGCGATCCGCTTTTTGAAACACTAGATATACATGCTCTCATAAGGCCTTTAAATGGCCACATAACCCCAACAACACTCCCACTGAAGTGTATGATTGATAACGATCAAAGCAAAACGAGTAGCCATGAGTATCTTCTTTAAGAGCAACAGATTCCTCCTTATTCTCGCACATATTTGGAGGATGAAAATCCTAAGAGAGCTTCCAAGAAGAACAAGAAGAAGAAGAAATGGTTTGACTAGTTTTTTTAGTTATTTAAGGGCTATTTTAGATTTTTTTTTTAATTCATTTTATTGTTGGACCGGCTAAGAACTTTTAGACATTTTAGTTAAAGTTAGAGACTTTAATTTCAAGTTATACTTAAGTTAGGACTTGTTGTTCAAAAGTTAATTGTACAAACAAATATTGTCCAAAACAATAAATTTCTAACATAAAAGAGGGGTGTGGATGGGCTAAAGGAACAATCATGTATTCCTCTTTTCAAAAAAAGAATACTGGTCTTAAGAAAAAAGTAGCCTAGGGCTTGAGCCCTCGGTGGAAGGAACCTTAGGGTTTCTCGAAAATTGCATGTGTCTAGCTGTTTTCTTCCTAATTTTTATTGTTTCTTCAAGTTCTCTGGATCAAATTGGTATCAGAGCCCAACATAAGAAGGATGGGACCTGGCGCATGTGTGTGGATAGTAGCACCATTAACAAGATCATGATCAAGTACCACTTCCCAATTTTGGGCCTTGATGATATGTTAGATATGTTGACTGGTGCTACTATGTTTTCAAATATAGATTTGAAGAGTGGGTACCGTCATATCCGTACTCAACCTGGAGATGATTGGAGGACGGCATCAAAACCAGAAAGAGCCTTTATGAGTGGTCAATTATGCCATTTGGCCTCTCCAATGTGCCCAATACTTTTATGAAGATCATGAATCATGTGTTCAAGCCTGTTGGCAATTTCGAGGTGGTATACTTTGATGATATTCTAGTGCAAAACATTGGTGAGCATGTGCATATGGAGCACTTACAGTTGGTGTTTGACTTGTTATGGAAATAGCAGGTCTATGTGAATCTCAAAGAGTGCAAATTCAAGACAAACAGCCTAATCTTTCTCGGTTATGTTGTTTCAGCCGAAGGAATTATGATTGACCATAAGAAGGTAGAATTTATCAAGGATTGGCCTACTCTTAATACAGTACATGATGTCCACAGTTCTCATGGGTTAGCTATTTTCTACATGAGGGTTATAAGGGACTTCAATTTGATCATAGCACCTATCACAGATTGTCTGAAGAAGGGGATTTGTATGGATTGATGAAGTCGAGAAAAGTTTTCAGTTGGCGAAGCAGAAGATGGCTAAGGCGCTTGAATTAGCTCTTCCAAACTTTGATAAAGTCTTCAAGTTGGATCATAACGCTTTGCATGTTGGAATTGGTGCAATGTTTAGCTAAGAAGGTCAACCTATTGCCTTCTTCAGTGAGAAATTAAATGACAGCCGCCAACAATATTCTACTTATGATGTGGAGTTCTATGCTATTATTCAAGCCTAAGGCATTGGTGGCATTACCTGATTAAGAGGGAATTTATTTTATTCACAGGTCATGAAGCATTGAAATATATTAATGGGCAACATAAAATAAATCAGTGACAATGCTCGAAGAGTAGCCTATTTGCAAGAGTTCGTTTGTTATTCGACATAAGGTAGGCAATCAAAACAAAGTAGCAGATGCTTTTAGTAAAGGACGAGGTATCTTTAAGGACTAGGCTTTATAAAAACAAAATAAAGCCTCGCCTCAAATCCTCGCCTGAAACGTACTTTCGGCGATGAAAATCTCTATGATGGCTCTAAAATCAATTTCTAGTGCTGACAATAAAATTTGAAACTCAAAAAATGGCACAGATCTTATGGATCTGTGAACACACATTATTAAAGTAAAATGGACGGTCTAGATAATATGTTATAATATACACTATTTTTATAACTTGAAATCCTGATTTTTTACAACCGTAATGTTCAAGTTGAGATGATTGATGTAAATGTTTTCCAATGCTTGACTTGCAATTTTTTATGACTTATGAGGTGAGGATTTACTTATTTTAATAGGGCTGCATCCCTATCAAACCATTTTCCTTTAGTAAAAGGTCTAACAACTATTATGATGATTGCTATTAGTGGGTTCAAGTTTATGAAGAATCTTTACGTATGATGACGACTTCAAGGAGATATGGGACCAGCGTTGCAGTGGAGTCAATGGGGATTTTCTAATTCAAGATGGATTTCTCTTTAAAGAAAATTGTCTTTGTATTCCTACATGTTCCCTTCGAGAAACTCTAATAGCAAAGCTACATGGGGTAGAGCCTTAGTGGACATTTCGATTGAGAAAATACTATAGTATTGGTGGAGTCTAAGTACTACTAGCCAACATTGACGAGAGATGTTATGCGGTTTGTTGTGCGGTGTCGCACGTGTCAGCTGGCTAAAGATACTGAGCTTTACTCTCCATTTCCTACTACTAATGCACCTTGGGAAGATGTTAGCATGGATTTTGTGATGGGATCATGGGACTTCCACAGAATCAAAGAGATATAGATTCTATATTCGTGGTGGTGGATGGATTCTTAAAGATGGCTCATTTTTATGCCTTGCAAGAAGACCCTGGATGCCACACATGTTGCTAACTTGTAGTTCAAAGAGGTGGTGAGCTTACATGGTGTTCCAAAGAAGATGACTTCGTATCAGAATACAAAGTTTCTCAACCATTTTTAGGGAACTTTGTGGAAGAAATTGGGCACTCGGATGTAGTTTAGTAGTGCTTATCATCTGCAAACAGATGGCCAGACTGAAGTGGTACACCATCTTTTTGATAATCTTCTAAGAAATATTGTGAGGGAAAAGAAGAATAGTGGGGCCTAGAACTGCATCAAGCCGAGTTTGCCTATAACAATGTTAATAATAGGTTTACTGGCAAGAGTCCATTCACGGTGGTATAGGGGAAAACCTTACTCCGTTGCTTGACTTGGTTCCTATCCAAGCCAATGGAGAGGGTCATGCTACTGTAGAGGACTTCATTGAACAGATGAAAGCAATGCATGAATAACTGTGTGCTAGTCTATAAGCAAATACAGCCAAATACAGGGAAGCAGGGGACAACATCACCGTTTCAAGGAGTTTCATGTGGGAGACTGGGTAATGGTGTATCTTAGGAAGGAACGGCATCCAATGGGCAAGTACAACAAGTTGAATGATCAAAAGGCACAAACATTCAAGATTTTGAAGAAGTTAGCCAACAATGCTCACAAGGTTGTTTTACCTTCACATATGGAGACTTCGGATATCTTCAACATTGTTGATTTGTCAACATATCATGGTCCGGAGGTGCATGAAGATGAAGATGCGAACTTAAGGGCGTGTTCTCCTCAATCTTGGGAGAATGATGACGATCAAAGCTTAGTGAGTAGTCATAAGTATCTTCTTTGGGAGCGACAAATTATTGTTGCTCATATTCAGGGGATGCAAACCCTAGGAGGGCTTCCAAGAATAACAAGAAGAGCAAGAAATAGTTTGAATAGTTTTTGTAGCTATTTGGGGGCTATTTCAGTTTTTTTTAACTCACTTCATTGTTGTACCCGTTAGGAACTTTTTAGAAATTTTAATTCAAGTAAGAGAGGTTAATTTCAAATTATACTTAAGTTGAGACCTTCTGGTCAAAAGTTAATTGTATGGACAAATATTATCTAAAACAATAAATTTTCAACATAAAAGAGGGGGTGGATGGGCTGGAGGAACAATCACATATTCGTCTCTTCAGAAAAAGAAGACTTGTCATGGGAAAAAATAAGCCTAAGGCTTGAGTGTGGAAGGAAATCTTAGGCTTCTCTAAAATTGCATGTGTCTGATTGTTTTCTCACTACTTTTTAATAATTCTTCAAGTAATCTGGATCAATGATCCACTATAAATGTCTTTTACATTCTCTCACAGCCTTTAAAGGACACAAATCCCAACAGTTTCCACATGAAAAAAGACCAAAAAAATATTTCTTCACTTCAAACTATAAAAGAATACCTAATTCAACACAGAAGTTGACGAGCTGTTAAATTACCAACAAACATTGATTTGATAATCATGTAAAAATATTCAAGGATTTGAACAATAATTGTATAGCTTATGATACCGCATTGTTTCAATTCATAAATTTTGAATTAAACATTCAAAATACTTCATTTTATTCAAATTTATACAATAAGTGCAAAATTGACTCTTTTTGAGGAGGATAAGATTAATTCTAAAATTTAGTAGAACTTCAAGTCCTAAAAAATTTTATAGATGTCCTTTAATGCCAAATCAAATAATCAAAGATGCTTCGAAATTCGTCATTTGTGAAAAAATGAAGCCTTGAACTTCAATTTTCACAAATGACACAAAAGTCCTTTTGGGTAAAATTAAAGTACTTCATTCAGTCAGAATTTGATGCACAAGTGTACTCACAAAAAATTGGCCTGGGAAAAATGGGCCTCTATATGATAAAAATTGAAAATTTGAACAGATGACTTATGTCATTCATAGCTGGCTAACACAAATGACATAAAAATCAGGAACGTACGACAAATTACCTTTTCAGCACATCTATGAAGATTCAATCCCACATATTACACTTCTTATTCAGATACAAAGAAACAACAAGAATGCAAATGAACCCATCATCAAATGCAAGAACAAAGGAAGAAAAACGAACATGGAATTGCAGGGTGTAGATATCCAAAGCACCGACGGCCAACACCTAATCTTCTTTTTAAATCTTGAAGATTATTGATAGGATGCACAGCCTAAAGGAAAACCACATAAAAACATTTAGACAAAACAAAAAATATGGAACAACTCGCACAAGCAAGTTATGTTCAAGATTTCTAAAAACATAAAGGAAGATATTCTAAGAAACAACTGAAGGAAATAAAACAAAGTATTACCTCATAAGCAACAATCTTCTCGAGCAAAGATGCAGAGTCATCCCACGTGATACGATGAAGCTCTAAGACAGCTGGGCTAAGCCATGTCACCAGTTTTTCTTTCAAATATGAATCTAGGGCTCGTAAAGATGGAAGATTAACTTCCCTACACAATTCATCAACAGAGAAATCAGACACTAAGATCACCATGTTTGACATAAAACTAATATGTACAAGTAAATGAACAACATGAGACAAAAGCACTACATAGAGGGATATGTGTACTTGTTGGTTTTGTGGCCTTTAAACGCCTAGAGATCTTGTAAACGCGATAATTTATAGTGGAATATGTACTTCAGTGGGAGTGTGTATGGTGACTAACCATGGGTTGGGCAGTTTATGACCCTAGTTATGTCCAAAACCCTTATCCCTAGGCACGTGGTACTACCGAGAAGTTTATGGTTCTAGTTGGGCAGTTTATGGCCCTGTTTACAGTGGGTCTTCCCTTGCTGAGATCAGAGAGATGCCCAGAGATGATGTTTGTAGGGCAGGACAACTATGTGAACTCTTGTGTGCGGTTGTAGGCCTGTGATAGCAAGGGCCAAAGCCTCGACAACCTTTCGCACTACATTTATACATGACAACTGCCTTACTGGGAAGCAGCCCTATAGAGGGACACATATACATGTGCATAGAGAGAGCCACATTTGCACTGTAGTGACAAGTGTTGGATAGGCTCTTAAAAGGGGAGATTGAAATCCATAATCCATAATCACAGTTCCACTGCCTATTATATAACTTTGACAAGCCAATCATGAGCCCCTGCATCGAGACTGTGGGTCATGGGTCTATGTTGGGTTGAACAAGAAAGCAGTAGCAGATCATAGTCCTTGGGTCAATTGGAGTCCCCTTATTGTCACTAATTTTGACCTATACGTACCAGTCCACCTCTAAAATATTTTATTTTGGTATTACAAATGTTTTTATAATTTTTTATAAATAAAAATTTATTTCTGCAGCTAAATCTTTTAAAATGACATTTTTTATAATTTCTGAAATTTGGAAGGGCAAATGTGGGACCTAGGATCCAGCCCCACATGTGTGCCACCCATGAGTGGGATGTAAGGCATTGTGGGGATCACTTAATCTCTCTTGGGTGGCACAACCTCTTTCTTTTATTTACGACATTTCCTTTTTTGTTAAAAGTTATTTTAGGAGAATCTTTTAGATACTAAATAGTGTTTTAATTAGGAGTTTGGTTTGACCAAAACTCTAATTATTTTGACTTCCTACAGATTTTGTAAAGATATTAGGAGGTATTTGATTGGTTATAATTTTAATATAAATAGAAGTTAGACTTGAGTTAAATTATAAAGGGATAAGGCTCCCAATAATCCTCCCAAAATCATGATTGCTGATTTGTGGATGGATGGCGCAAATTTATTCTCTCACCCCACAAATTTTCGAAGTTCCTATTGGTCAAGTTGTGTCATTGGATAGACAATACCTAAGAAAGGAATTCTAATCCAAATAGAAAAAGAAATTCTTTCTATTTAAACACCATTGAGCCCCTCTCTCTCAAGATACATATTTCTCTCTCCTCCATGCACCAAGTCTCTCTCTTTCTTTAATTAAATATTCATTTTCTCTCTCCCTCTTCCAAAAAGCGTCATGCCACCCAAAATTTGATAAGACAAGGGTAGCATATTGAAACCCCAATTAGGGTTATGCTGTTTGGAGAAGAAAAAAGGGTATGCCCAGCCATAGGAGGATCCTTTGCCTTCAAGCCCGGCCCTAATTTGTTCCTAAGGGCTCCTACAAACTCTAGTTAGGTTTCCATGCTCTCTAAAACCCTAGAGTAAGAGACATTGCTTATGAAAGCTTCCCATCTCTGAAATTCCAGCAAGATCAAAAGGGACATAAGTGTGTCATCGTTCAGGAAATCGGGTATGAGGTGGATCAAGACCTGTGAGGACAACTCCATGAACCTTCTAATAAGTCTTTCTAGTAAATTTAATTAGTTTTAGTACTACTTCATATTTTTTTGTGAATTTCCACGAATTTATATTATACTCAAAACTATAGTGGAAGATTGTTTATTGCTCTTGGATGGTTCTTTTTTGCTTTGGCAGCAAAAGTAAAGATCCTAGGTTACATTTAGGGTTCTAAACTTAATTTACAGTAGTGTATAGTTGCTCATGTAAGTGGAATTCAAGTATATTGAATACAAGAAAAAAAAAAAATTAATTTAATACCTTGAGTTCCATACAGCCACTAATTTTAGTACTATGCAAAGAGAAGTCATTCAGAACAATTTCACAAAAATTTCCGTAAGGGATTTTCAGATATTTTATTCTAACAAAGATATAGAATGTACATATGTTGATCTTAACCCAAGGAACTTCGAGCCTATGGTGGTTTGATGTTCCCCAAACCAATCCTGCTCCTGAACCAGCTCTCACCTCCAACAACTATGGTTCATACAATTCTGTATGTTTCATTTGTTCTTGTCAATAGGTACCACAATGGTTTTTATCCATTCGTTTACCATTTTCTTTATTCTCAACATCTTGTTGAACAGCTTGGTCAACCAGAATACGCAAATCTCTCTCGTGCACTTCCAAACCTTTATTGGGATACCATCTGGTTCTAAAGCCTTTCCTATATTCATTCTTCTCAAAGCTTCTTTCACTTCAGATATCCTAATCCTGCAAATGTATCTATGACGTCTGACATCATTTATGTCAAAGGTTAATACCAACATTATGCTCCCAAAGTGTTCGTCATTTCATAATTTTGAAAATAAATTCGCCACCTTTTGTTGACCTTGTCATTCTTCACCAACACCCTCTGGTCCTCACTCGTAATGCATTTAATATGATCTAAATTCCTACACTTCCTCTCTCACATTTTTGCTAGTCTGAAGACATCTTTTTTGCCTTCCATTATCCCTAATTATTGTATAGATCACCATGTGCCTTAAGTTTAGCCTTACTATTATCTGAGTGTTTTCTTAGCATATTTATATTCATATTCTTCTAAGTTTTGATCGTGTTTATTATATTGCCAAAATTTATTACATGATCATTTTTCGCTAATATCCTTTTGAACCTCATCACTCCAAGTTTCAATTCTTTGGAAATAATTGTGAAAGCCTTTTTGTGGTCTAGTAACAACAACCATAGGAAGATCCATCTCGTGGCTTAAGAACAGGTGTATTCCCCAAAGTGCCAAGTGTTGCAACCTTGACTCGTGAACCTGAGCCTGCTTAGAAAGTGGTGGTGGCATTATGCTACCAATCTGGGTTCTCTTTGGAGGAATGTTGTCAAGAAAAAATATGCTACCAACTCCCTTTCATAGTTCACTCATAGGAGAGTCACCTTTAGGTCCTCAAGTTTCTATAGAAACATCCCTGCCACCCTTCAATGCTTTCTCTCCTATACTAGGTTTAAGGCCAACTGTGGTAACATGGTCTCTTTTATGTCCGACCTATGGATTGGGGATTGCCCTCTTAAAGAAAGATGGCCTTCACTTTTTCCCATCTCAAATTTGCCAAAAGCCTGTGTGGCCCAATTCTTCAATTCCTCTCACCAGCCTCTATTGTGGAACCCAACCTTCCGAAGGCCATTGAATGACACCGAAACTGGGGGATTTTCCAACATTCATAACCTTCTTTTGAACTTCTACACAGATACCACTGCAAATGACAAGCTCATCAAGACTCCCTCTAACTCAGGAATCTTCACTATTAACTCCATCTATAAAACCTTATCTTCACCTCTACGAATAGTTCCACCTTAAACTCCTCGTGGATTTCTACCATATCTCATAAAGCCCAAGATTTCTAATGGCTTAACCGTAATCTTACCTTAGACCAACTCCAAAAGAGAGGATTCCCACTTGCCAATCGTTGTTGTCTGTGTTTAGAAGCTAAGAGATCCCATAGCCATCTGTTTCTGCTCTATCCCTTTGCTGGGAATATTTGGGCTTCTAATATTAAGGATTTCAGTTAGAAGTGGGTTACTCCCAATTCCACAGAACATCTCTTCTCGTGCTAGTTCGATCCTCCCTATCCCAAGGTGGGACGTCTTCTCTAGCAAGCTACGGCCACTCTTTGACACATCTGAAGGAAAGGAATTCTAGAACATTTGAGGGTATTCATAGGCCAATAAATTTTGTCTTGGAACACAACTACCTTTTGGGCTTCAAACCATAGCATCTCAAGCATTTCTCTAGATCTCATTTTAAAACCAATTGGAAGGACATTCTCAACTACAGCCCCACCAAGCAGTCATGATCCTCCTTGCGGCTGCCCCCTGCTCAAGACTACATCAAATTGAACCTCAATAGCTCCTCCTAGGGTAAACCTAGACCCTATAGCTTTGAGGGTATATTTAGAGATGTAGATGCTAATGTTCTTCAATCCTTTAGTGCCCCTCTCGGGAATGGTGATTCTACTTGGCCATAGCTCAAGCACTTTTGGAGGGACTCTCAAGGTTTGACCCATCCTGGGGCCAAAACCTTGTTGTTGAAGGGTGCTCACAATATATTATCGCTTGGGCTCAAAGGACATATGCTCACCCTTAGTGACTTTTGTATTTTTTGACAGGATATTATATATTTGCAGGCATCTCCAAGTCAGCTTTCAACATATCTAGAGGGAGGCCAATACGGTGGCAGATGCTCTAGCTAAGAAGGGCACTGCTACATGTGTTGTCCTGCCGCTTCAATGAAGCCGATGCTACTACTTAAGTTTCTTGATATGTGTCTGTCATGTCACCTTTTTTTTCCTTCTTTTTGTCTTTTTCTCTCCCTTTTTCTTTCTTCCTTGCTATCTCTTCATTTTTATGTTTTCCTCTAGGCCTCTCTCTCTCTTTTCTTCTCTGCTCTCCCCCTCCAACTAACTTTCCTATCTCCAATCTCCTTTTCTCATCTCAAACTTCTCACTTTCTACTTCTAACTCTGATATATTATATGCTGAAGTTCCTTGTCTAACATCTCATTCCCCTGTCCCTCTACTTCTAACAAATTCTCACCTTCGTCTCCCCAACGTCTATTTCATCTTCTGCAACCACCCCTCCCCCCTGTTTCTTTTCTTCTGTCACCCCCTACTTTTACACCTCTTCCTCTCACCTACTGGTTCTGGACCAATTTTTTATATTTGGG